CAGGGTTTTTATCAGCTAATCTGAAGAAACATACTTCATTGTTTTTTAAACTATACATATAACGTCACAAAATGGCCACTGATTTGGGATACGGTGGCTCACAAAGCTATGGATCATATAGTGGTCAGCCGGGCAGACAGGGTTATGGTCAAGGAAATGGCTGTGGCTCTTATGGGGGACAGAGTTACAGTGGCTATGGACAGCAAGGCGCAGCACAAGACGGTTATGGCCAATCTCACCCGCAGAGCTATAGATGTTACGGTCAGGACTCATCTGGGTATGGCGATAATTCAACGTCTTATGGGCAGCCAAGTTCCTATGCTGGCCAGGGCCAAGCAGCAGACAGCTATGGGCAGCAAAGCTCCTATGGTAGCCAAGGGCAAGGAGGTGGCAGCTATGGAAGATGGAGTGAAAGTGGTGGTCAGGGTGGGCGGTTTGGACGTGACCAAGGAGACCGTTCAGAAGGAGGGGCCTACAGAGGCTGAGGCCGTGGTGGTTATGACTGTGGTGGAAGAGGTGGACCTCCTGGTATGGGAGGTGGTGACTGTGGTGGCTACAAAAATTACAGTGGCTCTCAGCGGCTTAAGGGATGAACCAGATGGTGAGCAGGACAACTCTGACAACAACACCATTTTTGTCCAGGGACTGGGAGAAGATGCCACCGTTCAGGAAGTCGGCGACTTCTTCAAGCAAATTGGTATCATCAAGGTGAACAAGAAGACCGGCCTGCTAATGATCAACATCTACTCTGACAAAGCCAAAAGGAGAAGCAAGAGTGTCATTTGATGACCCACCCTCTGCTAAAGCTGCTATTGATTGTTTTGATGGCAAGGAGTGGCAAAGGAGTGGCAAACCCAAAAATGGTGGCGGAGGATTTGGCGAGGGCTTCAAAATGGGAGGAAGAGGTGACCGGAGAGACGACCGCAGAGACGACAGAAGAGACCGGCCATACTAAGTATTGAGCAGATGGAAACCATTCCAGCCCTTGAGTTCGCCGTGGAGGGAGGGAAACTGGGGGTGGTAGGACTGGGGAAGGTGATGGATCAGATATTCTGATTTGTGTACCTTGTTTTTGTTGCTGGTGTATACCAACTATAACTGTTCATCTACAAGCGAGGTGAAGGGTGTGTTGAGCTACTGTGAAGGGACTTGGGGGCTGATTGGCACTGTTGGCATGTGGTCAAATGTTGTTTGTTTTTGTTTTCTTCTCCCCTTTTTTGTTTTATTTCTTTGTACATCTTTTTATTTTCTCTCGAATGCAGCACTATCAACAAGATAATCGATTTGGGAGGGACTGAAATTAGAATAGGAGTCCTCCGTTACTTTGTGACTTGATAATGAATTTAGAGCTGATGGAATCGCATCCTTAAATTTAGCTACAGCACTATCAGACAGACATCTTGTATAGAAATTTTTGCCCAATGGCGTGTAGTTCAGCAATACAAACTCAAACGTTATCAAACAGTGGTTGGATAAAGAGGGATTCTGTGGGAACACTATTAAATGTTCAATTTCAATACCATACACCAGAACAAGGTCGAGGGTGTGGTTAAAACAGTGAGTCGGTTCATGAACACTCTGAGAGAAGCCAATGGAATCTAACAGAGAGATAAACGCAGGGCTGTCATTCTCAACGTCCACATGAATATTAAAATCCCCTACAATAATAACTTTGTCCGTTTTAAGGACTAAAGTTGACAAAAACTCTGCAAATTCAGATAAGAATTCAGAGTACGGACCAGGTGCTAGGTACACTATAACAAAAAGGATTGGATTCAAATTAGTTATAATTTAGTTTAGGTTTAGATCTGATTAATAGACTAGAGTCGAAGATCGCTGCAACTCCACCTCCTCGGCCTGTGCCTCGAGGAATGTGAGTATTAATATGACTGGGAGGGGTGGATTAATTTAGGCTAACATATAGAATGAGTCCTGATCTCAATCTGATCGTCTTTGGTATGAGCTGAAATCAAGAGCTTGAATAATTTGCAAAAAAAGAGTGTGTGAAAATACCAACTGAGAAGTGCAAGCTTATAGATGGCAACAAGAAATGATGGGAGGCTGTCATCACTGCCAACGGGTGTGCAACCAAATATTAAAGAGGGGTCCCATTCTGTTTCTTCTTTGAAATAACAATATGTAAGTTGAAAAAACAATTTTCTTTGTTAAATTACGTTGAACCTCCAATTAAAAGATACTGATGATATAAATTTGGTACATTTCTATTTATTTCTGAAGATATTGTAGAAGTTATGCAAGAAATGAAGGGGTGCCAATAATGGTGAGCAGGACTGTATAAAAGATTAACCTGAACATGTTCTATAGAATATGCAATACAGATTTTCTAGTATTTTATTAACTTTTCTTTTTATTGTTATTATTATTATTATTATTATTATTCTTCAACCCAAACCTGGGGCCTAAACATTATGATTTGAACCTCATTTTGAACTCAAAGACTCAAGATTTGTATTGTATTTGTAAGAAGAATTGTACAACATTTTTATTGACATACATGGAAATAACTTGTCAAATGAGTAAGAGAGTGACGATCGCATTCTGGATCAGAAAACATCAGGCTTCATTTGGAAAACACCTCTGTAATGAAATTTGAGTATCAGCATGTTGTATGGTGAAAGGAAGTTTTTAATAAAAATGTTTCATAGTGATGCTAAGCATCAATCAATTAAAAAATCTCTCAAATAATGATCTATTATTGAAAATGAATTCAATTCAAATCACAACAACAGTTATCTCACAGCGCTTTTCATAAAAGAGCAGGTCTAGACCGTACTCTATGATGCTATTTACAGAAGCCCAACAGTTCCCAACAAGAGCAGCACTAGGCGACAGAGGCAAGGAAAAACTTCCTTTAAGAGGCAGAAACCTCGAGCAGAACCATGGCTCAGGGCGGGCGGCCATCTGCCTCGACCGGTTGGGGGTGAAGGAGAGAGGGAGAGAGAGAGAGAGAGAGGGCAAGAGAGGAACAGAGAGAAAGAGAGAGGGATGGAAGGAGAGAGAGGGGAGGGAGGCAGCCTACACAATATACACACTAAATGAAAAATGGTACAAATATGTATAGTAGTGTTAATGATAACAATCGTAATGTTACTCAGGTGACTCGCAACCACAGATCCAGACTCCACAGCTCCAGAGCCAGAAACACCTGCAGGAAGTGATAGGAGGAGAGAGGAGAGGGACGAGAAAGCACAAGACTACCAGAAAGGGGAGAAGTTGTGTTAGTAACATGCAATAATGGGATGAGGTTGCATACAGAGGGAGAGAAAGAAGAGGAGAGAGGAGCTCAGTGCATCATGGGGTCCCCCGGCAGTCTAGGTCTAAAATGAAAGAGCCATATAATTTTTTGGGGAAACAGAACAGCTTTGCAACCCCTGTGCTAGACCTGCTGTAGTATAACTAGTGTATATGATAAGGTTCAGCCACAGCATGAGCAGAGACAACCCTTTAGGAAGCTCTTCCCAATCCCATTTTATTTAACACACAAATGCATAGTTTTTGTATGCACTATTTATTCAATATATTTATTGCAAAACATAAATCACTTATAATTAACACACTCAAATTAAGGTGCAATTGAGTAGGCAGCCTACAGAGGTTTTAGCATAATGTAAGCTAGCAGCCCCTTGAAGCTGAACCTGATGGGTGTTGGAATTGGTATCATGTTGACAATAAGACAAAGCAGAGTCGTGCTTCAGCATGCGCAAACAGTACATACTGTAGTGGTGCGCACACAGTTGTCCTGTGCAATGTGGGATTTTTAACATTTCTTTTGCACTCATTTTCAGTTTGACCTTCAAAAAAAGTAGTTTAGATATCCTGGATAAACTGTTTAATTCTAACACATCTGATTGCCTGGCAGTTCATGATGTGTCTGCATCTGCATTTTTTTCTTTTATTGTTTTATTCCCATTTTGTACGTTATCCAACAGTTGCAATAAACTGTGATTTGCCTGTAACATAAGCTTTTGTTCCCAGTTTCTTATCTTTGTGCTTAGTTAACCAGCTGTTGACAGTAGCTTCATATTTACAATAAAGATCCTCTCATATATCTGTCTTGCTTCATAAGGAGGATGTGTGGATCAGTAGAGTAGATCTACTGTATGCTGCCAATTAGGCAAAACCTCTTCTGATGACTGTAGAAGACATGTAATTTTGTAGAAACACAAATACAAACACCAAACAAATGTTGTGTCCATTTTATCTGTTGAACTGTATCGTGGCTTCTTATATTCATCAAAATGACACAAATCTCAAATGTAAAAACAACATAGCAGAACAATAAAGTAACATGTATAACCACCTTTACAACGGAAAACAAGGATTGGCTCCTGCTATATCTGCTGCCAAATGAGCTTTTACTAAGAACTGACCTAAAGGGAACAAACTGTATAATTATTTATTTTGTTTCATATAATGAATCATTTGAATAGTGAATAATTTATCCAGCAACTATAATAATCTATAATACTGGAATCATATGAACAAACATGCCTTAACATCAGTCACTGTGATGGCTTTAAAATGTATGCCCAAAACCTTAAAACTAATCCAAACATGCTGAAAATATGGTAAGTGAGATACCATGGAAGGTGCTGGCCTAACCCCTGGGAGCAGTTTGGGGTGACACATGGATTGGAAGAGGCATGCTCAAACCACCAACCCTATGATTAGTAGTCGACCCATTGTACCTGGTGAGCCACAACTAATATTTGTTGCATTATTACCTTCCTGTGGTGTTTAAAATATATTTTTTCTCTTTAATTTATTTTAATTTTTATTTAATATTAGATACTAGGAGACATCACTAGTGGTGACGACTTCTTTCCGTTCTTCCCTCCAGTCTCCATCAATAATTTTATTGCTGGTCTTCATACAGAAATTTCAGGACACTCCCAATACACAACTCCAAAGTTTTGTGTAGACTGCTGGGACCAGGTAAATTAAAAGGAGATGGTTAGTTTAAATAAATAAAAATCATATTTCTGGGGAAATGTTTATTTTGCACAGAAAAGGCTGCAATGATAATCATGAAAGTAGTACAAGTTATTAGATAATGGTTTGAATGGGTGGTCCCAAATCTGCAGGTTTTCCAACAACCCTAACTAATTTAAATGTAGGTCATGTTAACATAAGGAGAAGCTACCCAATACTCCCACTTTAAACCAGTAACATATTTAACAATGTATTGATCAATTAGAAAACCTAGTACATTATTGTAGTTTTTATAGTTACATTTTTCCGACTAAATAACATGAATAAGCTGAAAGAGAGTTTGGTCCTAACGCTGCTTGATGACCACTAGGTTCCTCAGCATGTCGAAAGAGTTTCCATCAGGCTCCACTGAGACCACGCCCTGCTCCTTGCTGTGCACTTGAAGGAAGCCATTGCAGTCCAGACCCACCACCTCAGCCTCCAGCCCGTCCTCGCTCCAGAGATGCACCTGAGTCCCACTGAGGTCAGAGAACAGAGAACCACTGTCAAAGTTATGCTTCAGGATGTTATTATGGGCTTCAGGAAACTTTACGAAACGCTGCAACTGAAAAGGTTACCTACCCAAGAGTGAGAGCCTTAAAGACACCACCTCCACAACGTATTTTCCTGGGCCATAATCCTCAAAAACAAAAACCCCTCCCATATAACTCTGACTTGAAGCCATGTTCTCCCTACTACACAGACTGACAGTGTGTCATCTTTTCACAGCCTCGAGTCCTCCATTGTCTACCCTTACACATTATGTACACTGCATCCAAATACTTCAGAACCACCAACTGTATTGCACTAATCTCTTAAAATGCCTAAAATAAACAAATCACACAAATGAATGAAAAATAAAGTGAAGTACAATACCACTTGTTATAGGCCTTTCTTTTTGATTTACTGTCATTATTAAATGGGATAACATGTTAAAAGAACTACGTAGCTTTTTGTCCTTAATAACTGAATTGTTTTTCATTGTGACATCCACATTAAATCACAACACAGAAAACAAAGTGAAGAGCTGTATTGCATGTCATTTCAATACCTAATCCACACTGTCATTAGTTTTCATGAGGAGGTGTAAGGGAACATTGTCTTTTTTGAGATGGAGACAAGCCTGTGCCAAAATAATAATCCTTTTCTACTAAGGGCCTTGTGGCTTTTCACTCTTACTCAAGAGAATTTTGAGAGAAAAATCTATACTTTTAGGTTATGGTGGCAACGGGTTAAGCAGGGTGAAGCCTCCAGGACATCCCTCTCTCCAGCAACACTTTCCAGCTCCTACTGGGGGAGATCTTCCACCAGTTGGACGTGCCCGGAAGATTTCCAGAAGATCCAATGTGGTAAGAGCGGTCAACAGTTTTCCGACAAAGAACCATGGCCTCAGACTTGGAGGTACCCACCCGCTTCAAACTCCACACAAATTGCCAACCTGGTCTGCAAATTGCCCCAGTGTGTGCTGAAGGACATAGTCTGATGAAGCCAACACCCACTGAAAACATGTTTGACTTGTGCTGAGAATAGAGACGCACCTCTCATTTTGGTCCCTGGTACCACCATACTCCCACAGTACCACCCACAGGATTCCTCAGGGGACAGGGTTGAAGCCTTCTCCAAGTCCCCAAAGCACATGTAATCTATATGTGCTTTGGAATGGTCAAACTCCCATGACCCCCCTCCTCAACAACCCTGCTTACAGGGCTCTCTCCACCGCTTGACAATATCCCCATTACTCTGCCTATTGCACGAGCACGGAATGTGTAGGGTCCCAACTGGAACTGAAGGCATTCGTTTTTGTCTTTCTTTTTTCTTGGAGGCCGAAACGTGCTCGAAATTCACCAAACTTTGCTCATAATTCAGGTGGGGCAAAAAATTTCGTATTTTATGGGTTTTGCGCATGGGCGTGGCAAAATGGCTCGCTAGTGCCCCTTACAAAGCAGCCCCCAGACAGAGTATCACCTACGTGTACAAAGTTTCTGTGGTACGTGTATCATGTGCAGACGTACCCAACGTACATTTTCGCCATGAAACAGGAAGTTGTTATAACTTCAGTGTACAAGCTCACATCTGCACCAAAAAAGGTTTGAGCCCGCAAATCGCCGCTTGCGGCTATATTTTTAATTTTTTAACTTTGAGTCTGTTTTGCTATTTGGCCTGATTTCTGCTGTCTGTCATGTTCACTAGCACTGGTACTGGAGCTGCCGAGGTCTGAAAATCTTTACTGAAGTAAAAGTACAATTACTTCCATAAAGAATCACTAAAATAAAAATTACCATTTGACAAACCACTCAAGTTAAAGTATAAAAGTATTTGGTTAATAAACTAAACAAAGTACAAGTTACTTTGTGTATTAATATTATTTAGTGTATGGGCGCCAGAGATCTTCTTTTTTGGAATAATAGATAAGTGTTTCATCTGCTATGTATCAGTTAGAAACAGCCTATTTCTAGGGTATGCACTTTGCCTTGCTTGTTGATTAGCCTATCTCTAATTTAGCCATTTCTGTTAAATACAATTATTTTACTTTTTTTTTTACAATTTACATGAAGGCATGATAACTAAATAAAATATCCATCTTGCTTGCTGCCTAGCCTACTGTTGCCTGCATCTGCTGTTATCTTGAGATGGTAGACAACCAAACCACTAGACTTGCTCTGTTATGGAGGACGCTGCATGTGATCTGCCTTCTCCAATAGCACAGGTACCCAGTACGATCTGATTATTCACAAAGTATCTATGAATATAGTCTTTACAACGCAAAAAAATATTATGGCAATAACACGGAAGCAGCCGCTGCTGAATGTAGGGCAGTGGTGGTTCTAGACCAATTTTATTGAGGGGGCCAGACTGGGGCCAGTTGTTTTGTCAGAGGGGCACATTCAATCTAGGACAAAAGAGACAAAGGTAATGTTCAAGCTTTCAAAATGTCTTTAGTATATAATGTAATGTTTTAGTATGTTTTAGTAACAGGACCTTTTCAGTAACTTAGTTATAGTTTTATTAAATTACATCAGTATTTCTCAACGTCGTTCAGATTATGACGGAGGGCGCTGGAAGCAATATTTTGGAGGGGCATTTGTTGAGGTGAAAGATCTAAAGCCAGTTTACACCAAAGATCCACAACAATAAGAGTTTAAACTTCAACTACTTGCAAAAAACTCTGGTTTGCAACATTAAACCCTGCCAGTATACTCCACTGCGGCTAGAAAAGACTTGTCTCGTAACTCTTCTTCTCTTTAGTGTTTCTGTCAGCTGCTTCTGGCGCAGCTCCGTGCTGCCTTCATGGGTACGGGAAGTCAGACTATCATCTGTGAAATTTCACCCACATGGAGTTGACTGTGTAAACTGTGGAAAATGGATGCCCTGTTTCTTGTTTTAATTGTGGTAACGCGTTCATTTCTCTAAAGAATACACCTTGAACGCCTTGTTATCGCTATCATAACACATTTACAAGAGGGATATAACGCTATCGGACTTCCCCTGAAAGCAACTTCGTCCATTGTCAAAGACCCGGTGCGACACCAGTGAGTGCCGTGAAGTAGACCCACCTCGTGATTCGCAGCCAGTTTGTGCCCCGGTAACCTGACATGTAAATGTATAGCGCCTTTCTAGTCTTTGCGACTACTCACATAGTCACACACATTCATACACTGAGCCTAAGTGCTCAAACGGAAACTAACATTCACACACTGGCAGAATAGCCCAAGGACACTTCGACACGCAACCAGGGGGAGCCAGGGATTGAACCGCCGACCTTCCGATTAACGGCCAACCCGCTCTACCTCCTGAGCCACAGCCGCACCGTAGAGTTTTTATAAAAAAATGAACCTGAGGCTGCCTTGCTCTGGTTGGGACTGTCAGCTGCACTTTGTCAGATGAGCTGAAGATAACGCGTGTGGATTTGTGTGCCTGATCACAGGTGTTGTCGGTTAGTCTGGTTTTAGTGAAAAGGTGCCACAATCACATTAAAAAAGGTGGTATTATGGTTTTTGGCTTTTTCCCTCTCCTTTATTGAGTTATATACCTTTTTTGTGCATGTCTTAGGTTTGCAAAGTAAAAAAGCTCAAAGTCCAGCCCAAAGGGAGTTCCCATCCCATAGACTAGGAGCCAGAGCGTTCAGCTATCAAGCTCCTCTCCTGTGGAACCAGGTTCCAGTTTGGGTTCAGGAGGCAGACACCATCTCCACATTTAAGAGTAGGCTTAAGACTTTACTCTTTGATAAAGCTTATAGTTAGGGCTGGCTCAGGTGAGTCCTGAACCATCCCTTAGTTATGCTGCTATAGGCCTAGACTGCTGGGGGATTTCCCATGATGCACTGAGCTCCTCTCTCCCCTCTACTTTCTCTCCCTCTGTATGCAACCTCATCCCATTATTGCATGTTACTACATTTACATTTACTCATTTAGCTGACGCTTTTATCCAAAGCGACTTACAATTGCTCTATATGTCAGAGGTCGCACGCCTCTGGAGCAATGATGGGTTAAGTGTCTTGCTCAGGGACACAATGGTGGATGTCTCACAGTGGGAATTGAACCTGGGTTGAACCTGGGTCTCCCACACCAAGCATCTTATCTATGGGCCACCACCACCACTACTACTAACTCGACTTCTCCCCTTTCTGGTAGTCTTGTGCTTTCTCGTCCCTCTCCTCTCTCCTGTCACTTCCTGCAGGTGTTTCTGGCTCTGGAGCTGTGGAGTCTGGATCTGTGGCTGCGGGTCACCTGCTGCCCCCGTGTTCCTGCTCGACACCCTCTGCTACAACAACTATTGTTACTAGTCCTATTGTTATTATTGTTATTATAATCATTAACATTACGATTGTTATCATTAACACTACTATAAATATCTGTACCATTTTTCATTTAGTCTATAGCAACATCACCTTCACTGTCTGTACCTCTGTGTGTATATTGTGTAGGCTGCCTCCCTCCCCTCTCTCTCCTGCCATCCCTCTCTTTTTCTCTCTGTTGCTCTCTTGCCCTCTCTCTCTCCCCCTCTCTCTCTCGTCGTCTCTCTCTCTCTCTCTCTCTGTTCCTCTCTTGCCCTCTCTCTCTCTCTCACTCTCTCCCTCTCTCCTTCACCCCCAACCGGTCGAGGCAGATGGCTGCCCACCCTGAGCCATGGTTCTGCTCGAGGTTTCTGCCTCTTAAAAGGAAGTTTTTCCTTGCCTCTGTCGCCTAGTGCTTGCTCTTGGTGGGAACTGTTGGGCTTCTGTAAATATCATCACAGAGTATGGTCTAGACCTGCTCTTTTATGAAAAGCGCTGTGAGATAACTGTTGTTGTGATTTGGCGCTATATAAATAAAATTGAATTGAGCTCAAAAATCATTTTTTTCCTGAATAAATAACAGCTGGTAGCCTGACTGAAAGCAAAGATCAGATTCACCAGCATCATTCAATGAAATTAATTCCTGTCGGATATTGCTAAAAAACAAGTAGCAACCAAGCGAATTAGAGGAAAAGAAAAGACCATGCTCTACACACTGACAGGATTCTGCTATTTTAGGCAGAATCAATCCAGTGAACATCTGATTGTTATACAGTATGTAGCCTACATTTTCTGCACAGACTAAATAGGCTTTAAAACGCCTTTAATGGAAAGTGAAAGTATTTCTGCACCTTGTGAACGGGTCATACAGGCTGCTTTCCAATATGGCCAGTGACACAGTATGCAGTTTCTGGATTTGAGAAACACAAGTAGAACAACCAAAGCTTGCCTTATTTTGTAAAAGCTTGCATCTGCCCATCTCATTTATATCTGGCACAAGTGCACTGGCTAGAGCTCTCTTGTGTAACGCACGCACACAGCTTGGATGACAGTTCATACCAATTGATTTTCAACGGCAGTTTTTTGTCTCTATTTTAATACTATGTGGTTTATCGGCCAAATTGTTCGTTTGATGTTAATGGTGAATGTTCTTTTAAACTGTACAATTTATCTAACTTAATGTTAACTTGTTAAATCTACCTTTCTCCTTACTCTGTCTCCCTGCCTATGCTTGGATGCGTGTCGCCAGCACTCCGGTGTTGCCGAAAGATTAAGTGTTCCACCGACGTGTCTTCACTGTCCTGTCAAACTAAAAGCCTTTGCAGAGTCATGTAATTGTGTCTTCATGACATTTCATGAAATTCTGAAGAAGGGGTGGCAATAATTTTGCAGCGTACGTAACGGAAACCCTGCTCTTAATCTGGCCCCTCTTGTCGGACTAATTTGCCTTGGGAGACCCTACCAGGGGCTACTGCCCTGGTCAACACAGGTCCCAGGATCACAGGGACATACTAACGCCTCCACTGTGTGCCTAAGGTGGCGATTCTTTGGGGGGGGGTCCATCCATGATTCGAGAAGTTGAAACATCCTTGGCATCATTTCTTTTATTTTACCTCTGTTGTGTTATTGCTCATAAATGTATAGGAGCTCATGCTAACCGACCACAGCAGGGAGCTTGGCTTGTGAATGCCGGCGTCTGGTGACAATAAATTGAGAGGTAGCAGCATATCTTTGTTTAAAATGATATACAGTATATAATGCATTAAAACATTTCATTACTCAGCTTTATCTCATGATACAACTATTGGTGTGAGTATTATCTAGCAATGTTTAAACCCATATTTAAACAGTGTCTAATGAAACATCACACTATTATCCGCTGATTAGCTTCAATGTGATCATTTGATATTAGAACATCTCTAATATTCACAGGTTTACTCTTGTAACTTGTATAAAAATACAGATTAACTATGTGAATCATACAGTGCACCATGCCCAGCTTGAGATTTGAACCTGCGTCATCCAGCTGGCATAGAGACCCAATAAATACTGAACTATAGACCTGCAACATTTACAGGCTCCACTGAGCAAACGAAGAGAAAGTGTCAGCAGAACAACTGATACAGGCAGAGTGTAAGAATTGTTGATAGCGACGCCATTAAACACACTTTCCAAAGACAGAAACATGACATTGATCGTCCTTGTGATGAAATGTAATATTATTATTTACTAATCAGCCTACATGTGTAATCTAATATAAATGGTATATATAATATAAGGTTTGGTCTTGGCTTCATTTTGTAATTTCAGTTAAGTCCAGCTACAAAAACAGGAAACAGGCTGCCCTCTAGAATTGTGGGTGTGTGATACCATAATGAGACCACAGCATCAGTTACATAATTTCTTAATTCTAAATTCCTATAATACATTAAACATCATCCAATTTTCACCAGAATTTGTATGTCAATACTGCAAGATACTGTTTATTGCATGGGCACACAAAATTTGGTTTCATTTATTTAAATTATACAATTATGAATTATTATTAATATAATATTCAATATCTATTAATGGCATCTCCACAGATTGATGGATTTAATAATATTTTGCACCAAAATACAAAAAAACGCATTTATCTATGGTTGTATTTGCACCAAATTTGTCATGGTATATTTTGATCACATCAAGGGGTAGTGCACCTAATTTGGTGTCAGCTTTCAGTAAAATATATTGTAATTCAAAAATAACATACGCAGATCAAGAGGCTTCTTCAGTTCAGGACTGAAAAACTGAACAGAACTGAAGAAGCCTCTTGAATGAGAGGCAAAAAGTCTTTTGGTATCTTCCAAACGCAGCTGCCTTTGACTTTAACACACCTTAATCTGCACAGACAAAAATTAAAGTGCAAAAATATAGTGCAAAATAAAAATTTCAAACAATAAAAATGGCATGTGTGGTCCCAAATAATCGTTTGTCACCTTTCTGAAGTCTCTGAGTTAATAGACCAGTGCGAAATTGACATGGGCGTTGTCTGTATCAGGTGATGCAGCTCAACGTACCAAATGAGTAGATATAAAGTATTTGAAAAATAAATGTGTGGTTTGCGAATTCTAAATCAAAATGCATTGGTGCTTGGATCCCTAAGCTTACAGAAAAGAGTAGTGTCCCTCCAGCTAGCAACCCAACAAAAATGGTTCGGTCACTAAGATCAAACAGTTGCTTATTTACAGTATCATTTTGACAGGATGATAATGTCTAAATCTCAAACAAGAAAAACCTCCCTTACAAAAAAGTTTTTGAAACAAAGAGCAAAGGCGAACACATTATTTTTGTCTGACCAAATTCTGAAAAACAACTTTTTACATCTTATATGTGAATGTGAGAGTCAAGGAGAGGCTGACTAGAAGAGACAAGGGGTCATTTTAACCCACCTGGCTTTTTCAAATGCATGCATCTCCGTGAAAATAAAATCCTTATATCTCTCATTTCATGACTTTCCTAAAATTGGTTTATTAATCTAGTGAATTTCAGGGGTTGTGGGATAAATAAGAACCTTATGATCTATGAGGCAAGGAAAAACTTCCTTTTAAGAGGCAGAAACCTCGAGCAGAACCATGGCTCAGGGTGGGCGGCCATCTGCCTCGACCGGTTGGGGGTGAAGGAGAGAGGGAGAGAGAGAGAGAGGGCAAGAGAGGAACAGAGAGAGAGAGAGAGAGAGAGAGAGACGACGAGAGAGCGAGGGGGAGAGAGAGAGAGAGAGAGGGCAAGAGAGCAACAGAGAGAAAAAGAGAGGGATGGCAGGAGAGAGAGGGGAGGGAGGCAGCCTACACAATACACACACACAGAGGTACAGACAGTAAAGGTGATGTTGCTATAGACTAAATGAAAAATGGTACAGATATTTATACCTAGAACTGCTGAGGGGTCATTTTTAGCCCCTCATAGAAACAGCTGTGTAATGCTGCGCTCAACATTTGCACCGGTTACCTAGTAACAGCTATTATTTAGACGTCTTTTAACAAGCAGGCTGCTATTTCACGAGCTAGAGCTATAAATTTGATAGATAGATATGATAATAGATAGATCGGAGCAAAAGAAGGATGAATGCCCAAGAAGTTCTGGGAATGACTTGAGTGAGGGAGAATCGGATGGGGCAAAGATAACGGTGGTCATCACTTACAGTGTTGTCTGTCACTTGCGCAACAGCTTGACTAATGCAGGAAGTACTCATGGGAGTTGTAATGTCATAGTGTCACATTGCAATGTGTTTGTTATTGCAGATGCCTTTTGAGAAGACCACAATTTTTCAATCCGCCAAAGTGGCTAGTGAGAGTGAAGGTGTTACCCGCCACCAGAGGATGGGAGTAAGTCACACATGTCCAAGTCACAAGCAAGTCTCAAGTTACTGTGATGAAAGTCAAGCAAGTCAAATTCTTAGGAATTCAGTTTGTTTAAACAATTTAAGAGAAGTGGCAATTCAACTGTATGATCACATTTTGGAAGATGTTTGGAAGACCACTGTTCTTTTCTTCCTGCCGTCATCGACAACATAATCCTTGAATGTGTTGTACTACATGTAACGGTCTATTTCCACGCCGCTGTTACGAAGATCCGGACCGCTAACGTTATGTGAAGCACACATGGTTGAGGATTATGTGCAAATGTTGGAGTGAGTGAATGCAAATATTTATTAAAAATAATCATGTCATTTTCAAGTCATCTGTCTCAAGTCTAAGTCAAGTCGAGTCTTTTGTCTGTTATAGTCAAGCAAGTCTCAGTTCAAATTTGCGACTGGAGTCAAGTCATGTGACTCGAGTCCCCCATCCTCTGCCTGCCACTGCTTAAATCCACTTGTGTCTGGGGGTTGCCGGGTGTAAATGTCAAGCCCTGATCCCTAGTATGAACAGCTCCACCAAAAGAAATTTCATGTTTGCATGTTAGGGCTGAACGATTTTGAAAAATTATCTAATTGTGATTATTTTGACTGATATTACAATTGCAAGATGATTTGCAATCATTTTGCATCAATTTTCTAATATTTATTAAAAAACATATTAAAATGAATTACGGTGTGACATCTCAGGGATCTGTACCAAACAAAGTCTCTAGAATACCATGTATTGTAATTTTGATTAATTGTTCAGCCCTAATGAATGTACCAGCTGAATCAAGTCTAAAGCCCAGTGGGGGGGGGGGTGTGTGCAGTGCTCACCTGTGAAGCCATCTCTTGTAGTAGATGGGTAGGACGGCATCTGGACCTCCTTGTTGGAAGCTGCTGATGAGAGCCTCCAAGCAGCTGACAGTCCGAGCAATGAGCTGAGCGCAGCTCAGCGGCTGCAGACTGCAGTTATGCTGTATGTTGTACTGCTGGATCAGGTCATTGATGCACACTGTTGGGTTACTGTTTGTCACATTGAACCCGCAGCCTGTAGGGCACATCATATTAAAGAAACAATACAATATCATTTTGAGCAAACAACAGAGACTGTATTTCACTGGTGCCTGTTAATGTATTGCAAGAGTCTGTATTATTACTATTGGTGACCAATGTTGGGTAATGCTACTTTTAAAAGTAACTTGTTACATTGCATGATTACAGCCATTAAAAAATAACTTGTAAAGTTGCAGGGTTACTTACTGAGAAAAACAACTTGTTTGTGTTACCAAAAACGAAACCTTTGTAATTTATTGTTGGTTATATTGTCCAGAGGGAGAGTAGTCTATGGTATGTCTAGTTTGAATGTACAGACTCATTCTACCGTCATTGCATAGCCTCGTCTGCGGCTCATAATCTGTAACTCAGCGGTTAATGAAAAGAATGACATGACAAGTTTTCTATTTAGTACATGCTGTAAATAGAAGTTGAGAGATAACTAGGTCAATGATTAATGACTTCCACAATGTAAAGGCTGTCCTCTCTCTGCCATCTCACTAGCTGAGCTACACATGAGTACTGACACAACCGTAGGATTGAATACCTTCCAGTAGTTCTCAGCTACCCTCCAAGAAGTAGGAAATAAATTGAAACAGCAAATGCTTCAGGGATATTGTTTCTTGTGGCAATAAAAGGAACAGGAAAATATGGTAAACTTTTAACAGTAATGAATTACTTGTTTGAAAACATAACTAATAAATAATAATTAAAACATATTTCATGGAACACCTTTTACACCCATGTAACATTGCAAAAATCAGGAACATCCTGTCTCAAAAAAAACCACATTTGTTATTTCTAGGCTGGATTACTGCAGTTCTTAATTATCAACCACCTCGAACAAGTCCCTTAAGACTCCCCAGCTGATCCAGAATGCGGCGGCATGTGTTCTGACAGGAACCAGGAAAAGAGATCATAATTCTGTTTTAGCTTTTCTGCATTGGCTCCCTGTAAAATCCAGAATAGAATTTAAAATCCTTCTGCTCACCTACAAAGCTCTTAATGGTCAGGCACTATCTTATCTTAAAGAGCATATAGTGCCTTACTACCCCACTACACTGAGCTCCTCTCTCCTCTCCCTTTCCACCTGTGTGCATTCTTATCCCTTTAATGCATTTTACTAACTTCTTCCCTCTTCTGTAGTCTTGTGCTTTCTCGTCCCTCTTCTCTCTCCTCCTATTGCTTTTTGTAGGTGTTTCATGTTAAATGCGACTTAATCTGGATTGTTTTACTCCAGGTCAATTTCTTGGAAGTGAGAGTTACCTTTTTCTAATTGTTTTCTGTAGGCATTTTGATAACAAAAATCTTCAACTCAAAGCAGAAAAGGACCCGATGTTACTGGCATTTTTCCCCCCATTGTCCAATTAGATGACAATAGTGGAGGACGAACTAGTGGTGGCTGTTGCTCATGTGAAGGAAGGGTTTATGTAGACACGTAAGTGAAAAAGAGACCTGTCAGTTAAAGCCTCCAGTCTCATTCGCTGTGATAAAGGGGAGGTTGTTACTCATGAGCAGATTAAAATTTTATTCTATTACAGTAGAAGCTAAATTTACTTATATAATAAAAAAAAGGTACAAATCTGTTTACTACAAAAGCAAAATAATGATTAAGCTAAGACAGATTATTCTGTGGTTGCCTAGAAACAATGTTTAAAAAATCACACCAAGCTTTAAAAAAAAACTGTAGGCAAAGTGCACTCTGTATGATCAGGGCTTTAGTAGGGTTAAAAAATCCCAAGGAGTAGAAGCCAAAGAGTTTGTACTGGTTTATTATTATTTGTTGTCTTGGGCCATCGCCAAATTTGCTCTGAGCTGGAATAAGCCAGAGACATGAAACGTTTCCACATAACTGGAAATCATGTGCAAATTTTTCACAGGAAATATGACCCAATAGGCCTGATGATGGTACTATAATTAACGGCCAAAACTTGTTAGTGTGATTTACTTGACATTTGACACACATATCAAACTCAGCTTGCTATACACAAAATCCTCTAGGACCATAAAAGCCCACCAGGAAGTAATTTTTGCTAATTTGCATAATCTGAAAAACAGTAATCTACTTTTTGAATTTTGATTTGTATCAACACAAAATTTAGCATACAGCCTTGCGGAACTGGGATACACCAACTCACTAGACCTTTCTCGGTCTCTCTCTCTCTGTCATTGCATGTGAGTGAAAAAGAGAACTGTCAGTTAAAGCATCCAGTCTCATTCGCTGTGATAAAGGGGAGGTTGTTACCTATGAGCAGATGAAAGGTTGATCCTATTACAGTGGAAGTCACCAGTACTCCCCCAAGCTTCATCAGGTTACTGTAGTAGATGTCATTGGGCCACTTCACCCTCAGGTCTATGTCCTGATGAAGGTTGAAATATGTTCAAACATCATCAATTAACACAGTTTCATTTAATAACCAATGCACTGAGCTTCAATATACTACTACTTTAATATTAAGGGTGTATTCATATGTACAGTGAATAGGCCAAATCACAGAAGATGTGTAGGCTAATACCTGGTATCCAGGAAGGGTGCGAACAGCCTCCACCACCGCCAGAGCAACCAGATGCTGCAGAAAGGGAATCCTCTGTCCGAGCCTGGAGCTCAGCTCAACCTGGACCCCCAGAGTGAACATGGCACAACCCTGAGGGCTTAGCCAGGCATTCCTGCCACGACCTGCAACAGCAAACAAAGGCAATATACAAGGGGACACTAAAGCCCCTTTCACGCAGGATAAAAAAACCACTAACATATATATTAATGTATCCAGTGTATGTGGAACACACACACACACACACACACACACAGTGTTTCCCTTAATTTACTTTCCATTAACTAGACTATGGTGGCCCGACACAATCTAATTTGTTCCACTATATATTAGATTTAGCAGTCCCAAGCGATGGCAACACTTCTTTTAATAATAGACCACTAAGTTTAAATATGTTTTTTTTGTGTTTTGCTCCGTCCCTGCTGCTGTAAGGTCGTAAGCTTTTGCATTTATTCATTTAGCTGACACTTTAATCGAGAACAACTTACAATTGCTATTTATGTCAGAGGTTGCACCCCTCTGGAGCAACTAGGAGTTAAGTGTCTTGCTCAGGGACACATTGGTGGACGTGTCACAGTGAGGAGTAGAACCCAGGTCTCTGACACCAAAGGCATGCGTCTTAACCACTGCCCCATCACCGCCCATACCTAACACACTTTGGCACCCAAGCTCACACACTTCCGAATCCGAATCGAGACAACCACTTTTCTTTTGTGGGAACTATGGTACCGTTAAGGGTTTGAACAGCTTAGAGATGTTTCCACTGTCACTCGTTTGTGACAACACGGTCAGCTAGCTGCAGCTAAATTTGGAGTGCACATGTATTTGAGCCTTTATGGTAACGTGCTGAATTTTATTCTGTCATCACTTTACAAAGACAAGTGTTGCCTTACCTGAAGAGAGGCTATGAAGTCTTAATTGTACTAGCACCATATACAATATACTATAAATTTCACCGGTCTTGGTAAATTTAGCATGAGGATACACATGTGACAACATCCAGTTTTCAAAATAAGGTGTTTACACAATGTATACAGCATCACTGGGGTGCTTCCAGGCTCTTGAAACATTGGGGGCTTAGCCCAGCCCAGAAATCTTTCTTGTATTCACCTGCTTTCATGCTCCGATCCATCCTCCTGCCGCTGCCTACCCAGTACAGTATAGTGTTGCTTTATAAATGTACATATAAAGTACATTTATAAAGCAACAGTAAAGGACCTCTACACAGTAACTATCAATTGTCTCATTTTCTGTTGCTACCTTATGCCATTTGTTAAACAGAACCTTATAATTACTTTACCTATAAATCATTGATCTACATCTTAATTATTAAATATCATAGGCCAAAAATCCATCCATCCATCGTCAACCGATTGGGACTGAAGCCAATCCCAGCTGACATCGGGCGAAAGGCTGGGTACACCCTACATTTATTATAATTTTTATAATTACTACTGATAAAAATTAACACTGATAATATTAATTAGGGGGAATCTTTGGGCTTTAAACACTTAATTTCCTGCATTCTGGTGAATTTTTCTGCACCAATTTATTGAGGAAATGTCTTTAAATAAAAGGAAACACAAAATTCAGGTGACAATTCAAAATATAAATAATATAGTGTAATATAATGCAGTAAAGCTCCCAGGCATTATGTTTTGCTGTCAGATATGTTTCTCCTGTAGATCAACTTTTCTCATTTAGTCAGTATACATACATGCAGGCATGCCTGAAGCACACTAAAATCTTTTTAAATGTGCATGTGGCACCTTTTCACCCCAATGATAAATTAGCTTAGCCTAATTCAGTTACAAATTCCTGAACTTTAATAGCTCCTGTGTTTCAGCAGCTTTTCTGCTCATGTTCAAAACTTTCTGCACAGAATCAGAATATCTCCCACATATCTGTGTTCTCTGATATTTGCAGAATATATTTTGAGACAAAATAAAATCACAATCTAATGAGAATGAAGTCATAATATTTTAACAAAAGCTACCTGTCCCTCTGCTGTGCATTACCCTGCCTTATTGCTCTGCTTATGTGGTACTATAGGCCTACGGTCTAAAGGGGTACCCGTCTGACAGATACAGAGCCCGTCTGGGACTGTACTAGCACACTGCTCTTCATCTCTTAAATGTTTTGATTAGGCTACAATTTTGCTAGGGACAATTCAGTAGGCCTAGTCGCGGACAAGCCCTGAAGCTGTGTGCAATGCTTGCTCTCTCTCTCGCTCTCTCTCTTTCTCTAAATGCAGGCAGGCTGAGTAACGGTGCGGGGTCACGTTATGTGAACTTCAAACAAAATGTAGCAATAATATTGCGAGTAGCCTCCATTCATTTTCGCAGGTCGCTGCCTCAACCTGTTCGGTCAAAAATGTGCGCACGATAGTAGCTGATGGTGGAGAAGTGCAGCCATCCTGTCAGTCATGCGATGCACAGCGTAGTTCATTACGAATGTGTGTTCATTTAAGTCTGTTTATCTTCTTTAATGTAAATAATAGTACTAATTACAATGAAAAATACATTATTTGTAACCATTTTTGCTCCCACGTAACTCAAACCCTGCTTTTCTCTCTCTCTCGCCTGTCATTCACCGGTCTTTTTCACCGGTCACCGGAGTTTTTGCCCTGCTGCAACAACTGCATGCAGGTCGCTGTTCCTCGCGGGTCTATTTCAAGTAGCCAGCTATTTAAAAATGATAAAATATTTTTTGTGTGGTTCATCAATGGTGATAAATTATCCGAAAGTGCTGCAAGGTGTGGACAACTCGGCACAACACCAGTGAAGCCAGGGCTCAGTCTCTTCAGCAAGTGTTCCTCTTCCGTACCACACATAAACACGCTACGCCTATGCATGCACACTGACGACCCAGGGTTAGGGTTACAATTTTGGATATATTTACGCACTTTAAAAACATTTGTTGAAAGTTTTATTCTTTTTCCATGTTTATTTACAACATTAAACGTTTAAATGCATATTGGGGGTCAGCCCTAGAAATTACTTACTAATTATTCTTTGATTTAGGGTTGGTGTAAAAACATTAAATAAACATGTTGACTTTTTTGCTGTGTCATCAAATTAGTTTACTAGAGCAGAATTCTTCATAGATCCAAGCTATTTATTTTGCTTTAAAAGTGCACTGGATAATGCATTTTACTTTCTTTCTTCCGGGGGACATACACAGCTGAACAGCAGCAATAAACAGGGACAACCTTTGTTTGTATGTGTGTCTATATGTGAGACTGTGTGTGTCTGAGTGCGTGTGGGTGAATGTGTCTGTATGTGTGTGTTCATAAGCCTGTTACAGAATGTAGTTATTAGTGAGAGTGAGACGCCACAACCGCGCCGCACCGACAGGCAGGTAAGACCCCCAGTAGCCAATAGGGGTGGGAGAAAAAAAAGAAATAGTTGACTGCCAGACGACCAACAAACGCCAAAGACACCGACCATCCAAATGCCAATTGTCAACGCAATGACGCCGGATCCACCAAATAACACCAAACATGAGTCAACAGCAAAAAAAAGCTGTTTGGCATTGTCAGGTTTGTTAAATTTTTCATGGGTGCAATCCACATACTCAGCTCTGCTGCTCATCCCACAAATGCATGTTCCTTACAGATGTGGCACCATTTAAAAAGGGACATAAAAAGGGTTTCTGATGGTACAAGATTTATTGCCAAGAAGCATTGTTACAACAAAGAAATAATCTATCAAACGCAATTGAATCACTTAATTTTTGTGCAAAGTTTATAAATTATATACATGTAGAAGTTTCTACTGCCGCACCACCAGACTGCAGAGCAGCTTCTTCCCCCAAGCTATCAGACTCTTAAACTCTAATTCATCCTCAGCACTGCTCCACTGATGATAGTTTATTTCTGTTTACCATTTTTCATAATTGATTCTTTATTAATGTATATTGTCTGCTACGTAGCAGAAGGGAGATACAAAACTCAATTTCACTCTATAACTTGTTATATTGTGACAATAAACCTACCTAGGTAGTCCTGCCCTAAAACATAGGCTGTTTTCTTGTCTATTTCCCACTAAATAGGACCATAATTTCCTAAATGAACATCACCTTATGAGATTTGAAACTAGTGACTGAGACAATAAACTTATTAGGAAAGTGTTTAATGAGATAATAATTCAGATGAGAAGTAGTCATCAATTCTAATGGAACCAGACTTCTTTATGCAACCAGCGGATTCGCCCCCTTGGGCCATTAGAAAGAATACAGCTTTAAATTATGTCTGCATGGTTTTACTTTTCAGACAGAGAGGTTGCCACTTGATTGAGATTAGAGAAATAACATTTGACAACCACTTGTCACGTCACTACAACTCTTGATTGGCCAACGGTGCGCGCCAAGAGCTGCAAAACAACTTTTAATACTAATGTTTTTGTGAGTTGCTAGTTCAACAGTCCCGACATTACTTTTTATTGGCCCCGGGCCATCGGGGCGCCGTTATTGTCAAGCTATATATACAGTATATGGCTAGTGGATCTAAGAACAGATCACAGCCATCTCCCAGAACAAGATCCAGTAATCATTACAATGGCAGACATCAAAGAAAGAGTGTTATGGACAGCACCAGGCCCTGACATGATCCATACCTACTGGCTGAAGAAACTAACTGCACTCCATGAACGCTTGGCAGCACAAATGAACCAACTGCTGATGGATGGGACCCACCCAGAAGGACGGACAGTCCTGACCATGAAGGGTCCCCAGAAGGGAACAATCCCATTCAACTACCGGCCAATAACCTGCCTCTGCACAACACGGAAGCTCCTGTCAGGCACCATAGTGGCTAACATGTGTAGGCACATGGCTCAATACATGGACAGGGCCTAGAGGGGAATGGGTAGTAATACCAGTTAGTATACAACGGTCCTGTTGGACTTCCTTCAACATCGGGCTGCTCCTGTGTTATTGCCTCGATAATTCTTTGGTTTGTAAAGATTACGTTTATAGGTAATTTAGAAATAATCTGATCATATTGGGAACCTGTGTTGTTGGAGAAGGCAGATCTGTGCAGCACCTTTCACATCAAAGCAAGTGGGTGGTTGGCTACTGTCCATAATAAAATGAACAGGCAACAATAGTAAGCTGCAGCAAGCAAGTGTGATTTTAAAGTGATATATTGATACCTTCGTGTAGATTTAAAAAATTAATATAACTGTATGAATGTTAAAACACAAAGTAACTTGTACATTCTGGAGTTTACTAACCAAGTACTTTTGTACTTTTCCTTAAGTATGTATATAAAATGGTAATTTAACCTTTACTTGATTTTTTATTGAAGTTTTGAGTAAACATTTTCAGTGCTCGGCGGCCCCAGTACTAGCAATAGAAAAACAGTAGTAGAGAATACACAGTGAGGAAAAAAAGGGGGGTTGGGGGAGTGGGAACGCAGGATTTTGGCCTGCCCCCGCTGCTGAAAAAAATCCTAGAGGAAACACTGAAATATATATATAGACATTGTATCTCACAGAAGTGAGTGCATCCCTCACATTTTTGTAAATATTTGATTATATCTTTACATGTGACAACACTGAAGAAATGACACTTTGCTACAAAAGCCGTGTTTCCATCAACGTTTTTTAATGTGCATTTTGAAGTATTGCATTAGAAAAGGTTGATGGAAATGGCAGAATAAAATAAAAAATCCTTAATTTCGCAAAAAAGTTTTTAATTTATCCAGAATAAATATCAAAAACATGTCTAATCAATAAATCAGTATTTTATTCAATCATCCAGATGAAGCAAATTAGAATAATGACAATCTTAAAATGAATCAAATTTCCTTGTCACTGATGTGTTGTGAGAATTAGTCTACTTTACTTAAAACTTTAAATGTTTCTGACATGTATTTATTTCAATATTCAGATTTCTGCATCAGTGTGTGCCAAAGAAAACAACTGAAACGATTCACAGACTGTGCAGACAGTCACAGATTGTCTTTAATGTTACTTTCAGCTGTTTTCTCGCTTATACGTGGCACGTAACAGAAAATATGAAACGGCCGAACGTTAGAAGACACACGGTGTAACGTTATGTTACCATGACAACAGCGGGGCAGAAATTACTTTTAACATGAAAGCGATGAAGAAATCAGGCATGTGATTGGCAAAGGGCAAAAAAGCAGGAAAATATACTGACACCACCCTACACCCCGATTAAACTGGCGGTGGCTCTAACATGGAAGGTAAAGCAGAACCCATGACAATAAGTTATTTAATGGATGTGTTGCAGTGGGAATCAAAGACAAGGGTCTAATCCACTGCGTCATCGCAACCTCTCTATAAAAATTATTATTTTGTATTCATTTTTTACCAAACCTCAACAGCTAAATGTGCAACATGAAACATGAAATAATTGAGTGTTTAACTAAATAATATAACTACTAACTTTCAAATTAGTTCAGTTGAAGTTAATAGATGATTTTTAATGAATAAGAGACAGCAGCAAAGGTTGTCGCGTGTTTAAGACCTGGAGGCCTGACTGTTAAAGAAACACTTATATTCTTCATGAAACGCAAACAGCTGATCAGTCTCTATCTGTTGGAAGCTGTAGGAAAAAGTTTGACATTTCAGCTCTGGCAGCAGGCTCGCGTGTGCGTGAGATGAGAACGACTGCGACAGTTTAACGGGATCGCGCCAGTTACACAGAAGCCGTTGCCATGGTTACCTCGCGGAGCGCTTGTTTGCCTGTCTGTTGATGAGGAGCGCGGAGCGACCCGTGCGAAAAGGCCTTATATAGCCTAAACCCTGTCACAACCATTCACAAGAAATTAATTAATAACATGCCAAAACCTTTAACATAAGGACGACTGAAAAAGCAACCATTCACACAGCAAAGTGTATAGGCTACATGAGTGATCAATAGACAACAAAGCCAAAGTAAATTTTAGACAGAGCCTATAACAAGCAATAATCAAAACATTGCCAATTTATCTGATCCTTATTGTCAACTCAGTGTTGGGCAAGTTACTCAGAAATAATATTACCTACTAGTTACTTAGCATAGGCTATAGACCTACTTCCTTAAAAAAGTAAAAATTAGCTACTCTACTTAGGCCCACTACTGGGTGATAGCCTATTATAACGCCACTCTCTACCGATGAGTCCAAGCATCACTGGCAGCAGCGGCCGGAGTTTCTCTCTGAGTTTCACGTTGCTATGTTGCTTTAGCTGATTTTCAATTAGCCTAAGTATAAATGTAAAACTGTTTGCGGTAGAAAACTTTTTAAAACAGATGACAATGTTCTTTGCATCTTAGACTGTGACACAGTAATGGCAATGACGTTTCTTACAGCTGTCGAAAATACCACTCTCTCCCTGTTCTCCAGTTGTCCTTTAGCTTCTTGGCTAACAGCTGACTTTAACAACATATGGTCTGGTGCCACTGAGCTGCAGCGCCATCGCGTATTCACGCCGGCGATGGTGCGTTCAGTAGCGCAGCGTTACTTGGATTAGTAACTGTAATAAAACAACTGTTTTGGAAATAGTAATCCGTTACATTACTCTTTACTGGGAAAAGTAATTTTGCAGTAGGCCTATTACTGCCCAACACGTTATGTACCACTGATGCGCGAGAGCGCCTGTGGTACACACTGTGCAGGTGTGGAATTGGCAGCTGAGCGTAAACGCACATCCTTGATACTTAGAAAGGAAGAAAACAGTACACACGTCAACCTAGATCCTTTCCATTTCACTCGGCCAGGTCCTGTACCCCCCACCCCCACCCCCCCCCATTCTTTTTTATTATAGATCTGCATGATTCACGTGGGTACCATTTTCAGGTCGGAAAATTCGGAATTCCGGATTAATCCGGAAAAAACATCATAGGCTACCAAGTCTGTGTGAGTGAACACATGCACATAAGACGACCTCTATACCCCCCCACGTGCACGCCCCCGATGCCATCGTCCATCCCAATGTTTCAATGTAGACATCGTCCGATGGAAATTTTGTAGACATCGCCCAACCCTAGCGGTCAGGGCTCTGGGATACTTTTGTTTCACATTTTCATGCTGCTTCACGTATTCGTGGACAGCAGTTGTGCTGCAGTGAAGCCGTTTCCAATCACAGAGCTCACAGAGCAGCACATTGTTGAATGTCTGTTTAAAATACTCCCAAACTTTAGACGGTCGAAGGTGCGGTCTTGTAACTGGAGCTTGACCGGGGGAATCCCACTAACACCGGATGCAGCAACGCTTCGGCTCACGTAATGCGAGTCCATGTATTTAAGTAATAGATTTTGTCGACTACGTTGACGAATCGCCCCGGCCCTACTTCCCTATGACTTTATTTTTCTCTGTGTGTTTAGGCTTTTCTTTTTTTGGGCCCCTGACAGATGCAGTGTTCGCTTAAAGTGACTTGCTTTATATTTGCGGGTCCTGCACATCTGAACGGCGAAGTGTTTCGACCATACCATTTTTACAATAACAGTGGGGGGCGGATTATCAGATGACAAGTATGATATGTTAGAATGATAATAACACATTTATTTATCATGTAAATACATCTGAAAAAAAGTGTTAATGTTGTACTTGATCCCATTTAAGGGTCAACCATAGACCTTTGCATGGGCCCCCCCTGGACCTCGGTCATCTGTACCCCTCTTTCAGAGAACACAAGCACCATGTCAGTGGCCTACTTGCTACTTTCTGCTGTTTTTGTATGTCACATGTAAGTATGTCACATGCCTCTGGAGAAACTATGGGGTTAAGTGTCTTTCCTACACCACAGGCATGTGTTTTATCCACTGCGTTATCAAGTAATGTTATCTCGTGATGTCGATTGTGTCACATCACAAAAAAACCCCAGAAAAAGCAAACTCATCTATTAGCAATGTGAAAGGAGTCAATTTTAGACTACTTTTAGTTTATCTGTGATTTAAAAACCTTCTGCTAATACATGTATATAATAATAATTATATAACAATATCTAATAATTTTGGTGTAAAAGGTGAGATGTGGTACCAAACACCGGTGTCAAAAATGAATGCAACTGAAACTTTGGTAAGTTAATACATTTAAGGTATATATGTGGATGTTGTGTATGCAGGTTTACAGTGTACTGGAGTACTGACCTCTGCCCTGGTTTTGTTGGGCAGCTACCGCTATCAAACTCACGTCCTTTGGTAAGTGCAGAGTCAGCCTGAAAAGAGACAAGAAGGATCAACACAGAAATGTTAAAACCTACTTCAAAGTTTCAAATTTTAATACTAATATATAATCACTTTTGAAAATCTATCTAGTGTGTATCTTGTGGTGATAATTGTGAATTGCAACCAACTCTCCAGTCTACCACTGCCCCTTAACCTTTCAAAGAGCATAGGACAGCTATGGTGCGTGACAGAGCACAAAAGGTGTCTCTTCTGAGACAGCAGAGAGTGGCCAGTCAAGAAATGAGGTTTCTTTAGGTAGATTTATTAAGAAATATTATTTAGTAAAACCATATGTTATTGTGACTTGAGATAACATGGAAAATGTAAGCCAAGAGTGTGAAACACCGTCACTCTTTCTGCACCACAGTCCATTATAAACCACACATTAGATAAAGTTTATATAAACATTGACAAGGGAAACACAATTCTCTGTGATTATGGACCCTCGCCAAAACTGCCCACCAGCAATAACATCTGGCCCGCTGCCAGATTACGGCACTTTCGTAGCGGTAAAAAATATAAATAAAAAAATGATTTGGTATTTTTTATATTATTTAAAATTCTGAACAACATTAAAATAGTCTGTAGCCTGCTTGACACACCTCTGAAAGAGCCGTCAGAAAATGTGATTCCCCTAAATGTCCTCTGCCTGGAGATACTGGGGAAATGCAAAAGCGTCCATAGGTTGATGGATGAGGATCAAACACTGAAACACATACACTGCAGCACATGCTGTAATCTTAGAAACATTCGCTGCAGAATCCATTTGTCTAAGAGAGAGAGAAAAAAAAAGTTGTCCCGTGGTGGGATCAAACACTCAACCCTTAGGTTGCAAGTCCTGCGCCTTACCAACTAAGCTAACTGAACAACATGTTAAAGCAACTCAATATTATGGCTTATATTCACATCCACGATCTAATGGTAGAGAATGTGGTTCTGATGCAAAACGTATTTGCCAAGTATATTATAACTACTACTTCTTCTAACTTACGGATTCATCATAGTGATGAGTGTCAGCACTGCCTGAATTCTACCAGAAGTAGAAAAAGAAGAACAAAGTGACGAAACACGCTCTGTGGCGCTGTTTGTCCGTTTTCAGCTACTGTAGAAACATAACGAAGCAACGTGGCAACGTCAATGGAAGGGGGCGCCCACGGTTATGTAGATAAAAATGTCTCATTCTAAGGTAATAAAAACATAATGGTTCATTATGTGATTATGTTCATTCTTTCCACACCACTGAAAACAAAGTTATGGATCTTATATTGCATGTCTGTCAATAGATCCTCAGAAATATTACACACTGAACCTTTAAGATTATTAATAATATCAATGGAAGTTACAATTTAAAGTGTAGTTGTATTGTCATGATCATCCAGCAAGATTGCAATTATTAGATGTGTCAGTCAGCATTTCATCAATGCTGATTTGAGAGCTTGAGGCTGTATTACTACCAGAAACCACAGAGAGAATATATTCTCTCATTTCCAGATGTAATGAAAGCTGATCCAGTGACCCAAGGCAACTGCCCTATATTGGCTAGCGAACAAAGATTATAAAGCTCCCAAAGCAAGAGAGCAGGGCCTTTCTGCTGTTGTGATGCAAATTTGGTCAGTGGTAAATCAGCTTAAGTGCAGTCCCAGTGTGAGGGTGCCCCGACTCTGGCCAGAAAGTGCTTTGTAACAGCCTTCTGTAAGAACTGTCTATCAAAGGGATAGATCACAATTTTCAGGTGCCCATAGGTACAGTGAAACAAATAATTCCTCCTGTTTATAAAAATTAAAATGCCCTTACAATGATACTGATAGGAGACAAAATCCAAAGCCCGACCATAAGCCTGAAAGATCTACTTCATTAATAGTGTAATATTTTCCATACCTTGTGATTTTTATAAAGTAAAAAAAGTGAGCTTTTCAGCGAGTTCAAAAATGGGTACATTCTGCTCAGGTACAGAAATTTTGACAAAAATTTAAAATAGCCGGCAATGGAGGAGCTGCCTGTCAATCTTGTCCTTTGGAAGTGCACTGATCTAGGGCTGTCGCGATAAGCGCAAAATTTAAATTCTGCGCTATTGGCTTAGCCAACTGCAGAGGATGGCAAGCACCACAACAACCGCAATGAAGCTAATGTGGCAAGCAGGCTCGGTGATGGACTAATGTTGTGATACTGAGGGACAGTCAAGAGAAACCGTGTAAACAGTAAGCCTCATTTGAAGCTCACTAAATAATGAATGCAGTACGTTTGATGCCTGCAGCTGTTTTTCATGTTGATTTCTGTGGAACTTTAGTTATGTCATAACTTTACTACAGCGCAGTTGTTAGTTGTTAAAGTTGAATGGAAGCCCCTTGTGCTCTGCACCGGTGTGAGTGTGTGTGTGTGTGTGCGCATTGCTGCGGTATGTGAATTGACTTAATATACATGCCCTGAAGGTAACGATTTACCTACTTGTGAAAAAGCCAAAATAAAGTTACAGAAATTAGTTTGTTCGCCAATGTTGTGTAACACTGCACACTAAAAACTCCTGGGTTATTTCTTCAACCCATTTTCTGGGTTAGTTGTGTTGGGTTAAAATTATGTGTTATTTTTTCAGAGAGTAACCATTTTCTGGGTTATAGGGCTAATATTTTGACCCAATTCCTGGGTTGTTTGGGTTTCTGGGTTATTTTTCAAAGAGTAACCCATGTTCTGGGTTATAGGGTTGGCTTTCTCTCTCTGAAATGCAAATTAACTTTATTGGCATGAATGTATAACAACCACCCCGCAGTTGTTCTGGAAAACAGTCGTTTGAAATAACCTTCGCTTCGCGCTCGATCCGTTTTGGCCTGTGCTTCTTCGGTGCAACTTTGTTATGTATTCATGGTAAGCGAGTATTTTCAAATTTTGATGTAACGTAAACTTTTCTCTGTCCATGTCCTCATTGCTAGTTGCTACGTTGAGACTAGCATTAACCGTGGTAATTCTGTGGTTGCCATGTACATCTAACTAGTTTAAAGTCCATGTAAAGTCACACATGACATGATGCAACCAATGTTTGAAGACTTTAAGCCTTAAGTTCAGTCCAGTTTTTGAATGTTGTCGAATGTTTGAGAGTTGTTTATTAGTTAAGTTGATTACAGTGGAAATTTTGTATAGTGCTTCTGTAGCAAGCAAATAATTATGTTTATGAAACGAAACAAGCACAACTCACTTCAAGACAGGCAAGGAGGGACTAGGAAAGGGGGAAAGTATTTTGTTAAAAATTCATATGACATCACCTGGAGCTGTTATTGAAGCACCAAACTCTAGTTCTGGCAAATGAGTTCAACGAACAGCACTCACTACACCACATTCAACATCTTTCAACCTGCTCTGGTCGGGTGAATAAAATAACTCGGTCCAATAGTCTGTTCTGTTTGAAAGCTCTGTGCTGTTCAGCCCTGTGGATAGTGATGGTTTCACTAGTACAACACTGCAGCAGAGAGAGTGTTCTCCACTGCAAGAGACAGAACGTTACTAACAGATAAGCATAACACTCCGTACACCAACTTCCAAAAGATATTTAGCCAATAATGTGGACAATAAAAATACATTTTCATTTCATTATTCCCACACAGGCAGAAGACTAAGATGCTTTCAAATGAACACAGTTAACAAAAAGGCCTTCCTTTTTCTTTGTTTTTCCATTTAATCAAAACTAGTTGGCTTTACTGCGAGTTAGGGCTGGACGATATGGCAAAAAATGTTATCAAGATAAAAGGTTTCATATCTTTCGATATCGATAATTATCACAATAAGTATCAAATCTTTATTTCTTTCGAGTTTAAAGGCTGACTTTTGCTCCTGAGGTAAAGCTGAAGAAACCTGATGGTTAACTGTGGTTTAAACTCTTCTTTGTGGTCAACACTTGAGGCCAAACAGAGGATCACTTCACAAATCTGAGGTGGGAGATTCAAAACAATTATGATAAAATCTTCTTTGTCAACAAATACGCATGAGTAACATCAAGTAAAAGCATTTTTCAGTCCTTTTTCCTCAACAAAATAAACATCTTAATAAAAAAATTAAGTCCTAATTTGTGTATGATTCAAGTGAATAAAATCAAACATTTATTGAATATTTATTGAACATTTGTTATATTATTATTGAAAAAAATTATATCGCAATAAAATTGTTATTATTGTCCAGCCCTACTGTGAGTTATGTTTCATATTGCACTGTAGTGGAATTGGGACAGGGGTGAACAGTTTGACATACAGTTAACTGAACTTAGAGCCCCCTTTTCAATTCATTCAATATGAATTCATTTTGAATTGAATCTCAAACTAGAAGCAAGAAGTGGCTCTGTAAACTGTGGTGGACAGTTTGGGTAACCATTTTTCCATTCACCTTTGTTTTCATTCACACAGCTTGGGAAACCTGAAAGCTTGTTTAAAAGTTATAATTACAGGTGCACCTAACAATAATTTTGATCATGAAGAAATCTGTGGGTTATATTTAATGTTTTGTCCATGCTCACAGAGTCCAAGGTGAGGTCTTCAAATGTCTTGTTTTGCCCAAAGCAGTCCCAAACCCAAACATTTTCAACTTACAATGATAGAAAAACAAATCTGAAAATCTAAGAAGCTGAAATAATTTGTCAATGTTGCCTAAAAAGTGACAAACAATTAACTAATCATCATAATAGTTGGCAATTCCTTTTCTGTTTATTTACGACTTGATGAATTGACTATTTGTTGCGTCTGTAGTTATAGTGTAAAACGTGCTGCTGAATAATAGCAAAAAAGAAAAAGGCAGGTTATTTAAGAAAGAGGGAGATCAACAGCCCCACAGAGAAAATGTGGATCCTCTGGTGTTCCTCTGAGATCCATTTCATCCTACTCTGATAACTTTGTGATTATTGTCAGTTACTCATTCCATCAAGACCAGAACAAAGACATAAAAAGTAGCATATTTGACAGATAGAAGGAAGAAGCACTGTCCCAAGAGGAAGAGCATGGGTCTCTAAATCGCT